GACCCAAATTTTGCTGTTTTAGAAAGTCTAACCATTAAAAAAAAAAAAAAAAAAAAAAAGGTCTAACCGCTCTCGGTTGACTCTCAAAAATCCGGAAGAGTGGAGAGTGGTCGGCCAAGTAGGTGGCTTCCGTAGGGATGGAGAAATTCTGCCACTTGTTGCAGCGTGCCTCTAGCTTCCTTGGCCTAGAGCCAGGGCTATCTGGACATCTTGCCTGTTCGGTCTGTGGGACTAAGTCGTGGCCTGACCCCACAGGCCGTGTGCTCATTCAATCCAGTCCAGTCCTGCCCGGTACCACTGTTGGTACAAGCCCAGTCCAATCAGTCCAGTCAGTCTGGTGGGGATATATCCTAGCTGCAGTCTGTTTCAGTCTCATTCTTTTTCTTTTCTTTTTTTTGGGGAAATAGGCCTTGCGATATCCCTCTATCCTGGCAGTGGTAAGAGAACCGTCAGAATTGAGGGCTTATCTTTCGGGCTGCTCCATCCATTGGTGGGGAGCGGCACCTGCTGGAAACCGGGTCCAGCGTCCCATTGATACATCTTTTTTTTGGGGGGGAACACAGATATTGCTGTTTGTTGTTGTTGTTGTTGTTGTTGTTGTTGTTGTTGTTTTCTTTTTTTTTTTCTTTTTTTTCCCCCTAGGGCTGTGGTGATTGTTGTCTCTGCCCTGCCACATAGTTTCTGAGTATTTTGGCGTTTCACTGTGGAACACTTGGGATCTTGAAAAATGTCTTCCAAAGGCTTGGCTGAAAGCAGTGGGGGGATCTTGAAAAATGTCTTCCAAAGGCTTGGCTGAAAGCAGTGGGGGGATCTTGAAAAATGTCTTCCTGAATTGGTTGGGCTTGAAGAATTAGCCTTTTTATTTATAAAAAAAAAATAAAAAAATAAAAAAAGTCTTCCAAAGGTTTGGCTGAAATCAGTGGGGTCAATGCCTGCCACCTATTTTCCCAGCATTTTGGCCGCTCAGTGCAGAAGTACGTGGGACCTGGACAGATGTCTTCCAAAGACTTAAGGCTGGTGGAAAGCAGTGGGGATTGCAATAAAATTTTCAAGCTTTCCAAAAAAAAAAAAAAAAAAAAAAAAAAAAAAAGGAAGCAGTGGGGTGTGTTTCAGGACATCTACTACAATTGGAACGATACAGAGAAGACTACCTACAGGCAACAGCCTTCCCCCGAATACAATGTACTGTCATTATAGCTGAATTTGGGGCATCTTTCAGTCTAAATCCAGCTATAATGACCATACATTGTATTCGGGTGAAGAGAGTAGCGCGGCCCCTGCACAAGGGTGGTGTGCGCGGCCCCTGTACAAGGATGGCACACCACCGGTACCCAGCGCCAACGACTGTTATCCCGAAGAATAAGGGGGGGGGGAAAGAAAAAATGCAAAAGATAATGGGCCTCGCTGCACTACTCTTGAAATCAGCATTTTCATGAGCGCCGCTGCACTTACTCTTGCCACATCACTCTTGAAAACGCACTTCACGAGCTGTCAGGCAGTCGTCAGGCGAAGTCGGCTAGAGCGCTCTTGTTCGCCTGCCTGCAACTCCCGTTTTTTTTGTTTTTTTTTCTCCTTTTTTTTTTTGTTTTTTTTTTTTGGAGCAACTCAAATTCATTCCAAATGAGAGACAGACAGAGGCCCGGGAATACACCTTGCAAGGGAGGTCGGAGGGTTTCTTGAAAGGCCGCCGGATTTCAAGAGCAAGCCGGGTCTGGACGGACAACACACGCGCTGGCTGTCGTTTAGTGCTTCAAGAGCACTCGTGACGGGCTCATGTTCACACTACCGTGCGTGGTCCCACCGTGGTGGCACCGTGATCTCTTAAATGACATGTGCTTTTCCTTGTTTTCGGTTCAGGTGGGGGGAGGGGGGGGCGGACAGTGGCTGCGAAGTGTGCCCAGTGGCGGAGGGGCGGAAAGCGGCTGAGGGTCGGGCCTGTACAACTCCGGGGTTTCGGAGGGGGGGGGGGGGGGGGGGGGGGGGGGGGACAGTGGCGCGCGGGTCGGGAAAA